GCTCTGTTTTACTGATATGACAGCCTTCCTAGCCCGCTCAAAAGTGGACCCAAGACAACCTTTCATCCAAATTCAAATCTACTCTTGATGAATTTCAAGCTGTCCAGCGCCGCGCCCTTGAGAAACAACGCGCATCCACTGCAGCCGCACGAACAGCTATAGAGGAGTCTACTGCGCACACTGTCCCTGAAGGCGAGGAGAACCAGGGTTTACAGCAACTCCAGGAACAGCCTCGTCTCGCCTCGCAAGATGATGTTGATTTCCAAGAAGCACTCATTATCGAACGCGAGGCTGAAATTCGGAACATTGAACAGAGTGTCGGGGAACTCAACGAACTATTCCGAGATGTTGGCCACATTGTTCGGGAACAAGGTGGACAAATCGACATAATCAGCGAGAACGTATACAACACAAGAGACGACACACGAGGAGCAGAGCGGGAACTTCGGACTGCGAGCAGGCATCAGAAGAATGCTCGAAACAAGATGTGCTGCCTGCTAGTTATCATGGCTATCATCCTAGTTATCATTGTGTTGGCCGTTGTACTGGGTTGAGTAACCCGATACTAAGGTAGACCGGCTAGTCAAGTCTCCGATTTGTACCATTTCCCCATACTGCTTGCTGAGGAGTTTACGGCGCATGCGTTATATTTACCACTTGTTTTACATTCCATATGTCACCATTCCTGATCTGCTATGGATCTAGAGCTCATCAGCTATATATTAATACCCCACTTGCTTTGGCCGTGATGTGACAGGAGTTGAATCATCTAAGATATTTTTGCTTTTCCCCTTCCGTACATATACATATCTTACACATATATTACAATCTCAGGTGCCGTTGCCTTAGTATCATTATCGCAAATACTGCAGCAAGCTATAGGCCCACGAACCGGCTAGCTCTCATTCTTAAACTTTCCCATGAATTTAATTTCGGCCGAACATCAAGAAAGAAGTTCAGCTTCCCCCCATCTCCCTTCCGATCGGACTTTCCTTGATAGAAGTCAATAACATATTCTAACCTTGCGCCGTCGCATCGCTCAACAACCCAATCGTGCCGATCAAAAGGAAGTTGATAACCCAATAGTCCATTCCATCTTGCACGAGGGCTCAGATATTGAGTCTCGGCACCTAATCCCCGAAATGAGTATAATTTTGGCCCGCCGCATTTTGTGCTTCCAGGATCTGACAGAGGCCCTTTTGACTCCCAATCTAATATCTCCGCCCAAGCTCTTTCATTCACGGCGTTATGTATTGGTATTATCGATGCCACAGACGTAGCGAGTTCGGTGGCATTTTTGGTAGACGACGGAGTGTTATTTTTGCGCATCAACGCATCAAAGAATTGCCGTTCAGACGGATATATCCAGTTCCCGGTTTTGCCATCGGTGCCCGTTTCAGATTCCGCATTTGAGGGTATTCCGTGTGATGCAACCGTTACCGCTGGTTGTTGCGCGTATGGAGATGTAGGAGGTGATCGTTCGGAAGCTGGTTTGCTAGATGGTAATGCGCGTGGGATACTACTGACTTCGCGGTCCGTAGAAAGAGCCCTTTGAAGCTTAGCTGGACGTTCTTTAGGGGTCTCAGAAGGAATATTGTGTGGTGAGGCGTTCTTGTTCTGAGCCAGCCAGATCTCTCGAGTCTTGTGGTCAACTGGACAGCCGTCAGGCGCCGACTTGGCCTCTGGAGGTGGAACCGGTGTGCTAACGCTGGCACCCATGGCTGGGTTAATCGCGGAAAAGGGTTATCAGTCGTAACTAGGTGCAGAGGATTGTAATTGATGATAAGCAACTACTCCATTCCCGGTAACCGCAGGTTTAAAAGAAGCGCCTAACTTCTCTTGATAAGTGCCTAGGTAACTACTCCGTACCGGAATGCCAATAATTCCATAGGGCCCTGGTCAACCTTACCCATTTCCGGATTATATATAGTCCATGTCGTCAATTTAAGCTCTAGCTTAATAATAAGGTTGTATGTTAAACTTCACAAACCTTGAGCCTTCCAGTGTTTATGTCTGTTGCTCAGCTCTTCCAGAATGATGATCCACCATTGTGTCGCTCCAGCCTCATCTCTCCATCAGATATCACTGCTTGTTAACAGGCTTATTGGAAAAGTAACAAGAGTCTCTCGCATGTGCAATTTTTGCAATTTTTGGCTATATGGCAAACTTATTAGCCATACATTGACTAGCCAAAAGTCATTTTACAAGCTCCTTGGGATTCTCAAAGAGCCATCACTTTACAAAGCTGCCATTATACCACCTTTTTGCGATCAGGAAAGGCCGAAGCCAATAAATTGTATATCAAACTATCCTCTAGTCGGCAGACCTTGATGTATTTGAATTCTCTAATGGCATAGCAGCGTTGCAATAAATGACCGGGCGTTAGACCGCTCGCTACGAGTGCACCAGCACTCAGCAATACAGGAATGCAGATCTATTCACCAAGCTGTGAATATTATTGAGTAGGGCTGTGTGGAAGATTAGTCCTCTTCGCCGCTATCCATGAACAAGCGCATAGTCTCGAATTGATGGACAGGATATGTGGTGACTGCGCGTATGGGAACCTATTCTCTAACTCTAATCTACCAGCCATTATTACGAAATCGGCCCTCAAAGCGCATCTCGTTTTCCAGAAACCAAGTGTGTTCACGCCGGCTTGTGTCTTTAGCCAACCCCCCAAACTTCCTAAACCCGATTCTAAAAGCATGCAAATAGGCGTATGTCCACACAACATATTTCTATCAGGCTTAGGATCAGCAGACCCTACCGTCAAACTTGGAGATTTAGATGACGGTATGCTGGGAGACTCATATATAAAATCCAACCCTCCGTGCCGCCCACTGATTTGTAGCCTTTTCCGAGGGCGTCGACCAAAAACTACAAGGGCGCTCAATCGCATGACACTCCAGCCTCAAAGACAGGGAGACGAAGTTGACAATCATCAGACGGCATGGCGCCTGGCTAAAATATTCAGACTCATGGGACCTCTATGTTGATTTCCCCGAAAACCTGGGCTTTATGAGTGCGTTTGAATCTGTATAGGCCATGGAAGATGGCGGGTATCTCGACCGCAGAGCAGGCAAAGCCAAGCCATCCATCGATGTCGGCACTCTAAGAGAGGAATTATCAAAAATTCCTCGAATATTTATACTAGTCTGTGTCTTTGCCTCGCAGGCTTGATAGCGTTGACTTACTAGTATCCAAATCCTTCATTCAGGTCAATGGATTATTTGTAGCATATCAATACAGCTGTCACTTACTGGAGGTCTCCATCGACCAATCAACGTATCAGTCACCCTTCGCTCAATCACTTGGTTAAGGCGTCTGCAGGTGAATCAATAGTAGCATTATTAGCAACCACTAGGCTTGGTTGAATATTTGGAGTTGGTCTGCTCCCTCCGCACGCCTTCATCCCAACCCCGCC